AAAGGAATTTGTTAGGATGTCAATAGTTTATATGTAATATTGTAATTAATGATTCTTTGAATGTTTACTTGATAAAACGCACTTGTAAATTCATTTGGCTCTGGGGTTTTGTGGTTTGGGAATTAATTTATGGCTTGTTCAGTTTCTTTCTCTAAAATTGGTTAAGTTTTCTATTTCTTTCCCTCTTAATCTGAGTATTTTATATTTCTGTAAATATTCATCCATATAAATTATTAGTTGTGTTGGCAACTAGTTTCTAATAATTTCTCTTATTTTCTCTTCAGTTGTAGAGAATTCTGTTTCATTTTTTGATACTGACAACTTGGGTTTTCCTCACTCTTCCCCTCAGACTGTTTATTTCTCCCCACAACAAAAAAAAAATTTCCTACTCTTATTTATCAAATCAATCATTTTTTTCTTTCATTTTTGTTAATATCCTCTTTAATTTTAAGAAGGAAAACATTTTAGTGTTTAGTTGTGGGATTTGGGTTTTGCTTCCTTCTAATGTTTTGTTTATTAACTTATGTTCAATACATAAGCCATTGATTTGTTCCCTCTCTTTTGTTGATAAAAACATTTAAACACGTGTATTTTCCCCTGACTTCTCTGTACCCCCAAAATTTTCGTATTATTACCCATCATCCTTTTTTGAAATGAAATTATCTATTGTTTCTATGATTTGTTCTTTAAATCATAGGATTAAATTATTGAATCTCCATTTAAGTTTCAATCCTTTTTTCAAAGACCCTTATAATTTTATTGTGTAATGGTCAGTAAAAGATATGTTTAATATTTTTGCTTTTGTGAATTTGAGGTTTTTTTGGTCTAACACATGATTAGTTTTTGTAAAGTTTCCATACATGGCTGAGAAATATTTCTATTTCTTTCAATTCCCATTCAATAATCAACAGAGATCTATCTTATCTAACTTTTCTAAATTTCTATTTAGATCCTCAATTTTTTTCTTCTTTATCCTTTTGTTAGATTTGTCTTGGTCTGAAAGTGTTGCACTGAAGGGTCCCAATTACTACAATTTTGCTATTTTGCCTAAAATTTAATTAACTTTTCCTTTAAGTACTGACATGCTTTCAGAACATATATTAAGTACTGATATTATTTCATTAAGCATCACATAGCTTTCCTGTTTAACTCTTTTTAACCGTATCTTATTTTTATCATTGCCTTGCCCAAGATCATGTTTTCTACTTCCACTTTTGGGGATTTACCTGAGGCAAAATCAATTCTGCTCCAGCCTCTTACATTAACTCTGCGTGAATCTTTGTTTCAAGTGTGTTTCTTGTAAATAACATACTGTTCAGTTATGCTTTATAATTTATTTTGCTCTCCTGTTTTATGGATAAGTTCATTCCATTCATGTGCATGGTTATGATTTTTAGTTGTTTATTTTCCTCTACACTGTCCACTTTTACTTTCTCCTCTTTCCTCTCAGACTCTATCTTTACAAAGATGATGACAGCGGTAAAAGGAGTGTGAGCAACACTAATGATCTATAATTGGAGCTCTCCTGCTTCCAATCCAGCTCCTCCTTCTTAGCTTCTCCCTTCATCAGGTCAACCAAATTCACACATTGATTCCTCCCTGCTCTCTACTCTTGACCTTCTGGACTTCCTTCTCCTCTGCACCAAGCCCAGGAATAGGTACCTCCTTCCCCCTCCCCCACCTATTCAGTTTCATTTCATGTATTGTCTTTTTCCTTTAGAATGTTAGCTCCTTGAGGGCAGGAAGAACTGTCTTTTCTTTTTGAATTTGTATTTCTAGGGCTTAGCACAGTGCCTTTCAAATAATAAGTGCTGAATCAATGCTTGTAGGCTTGTAGACAGACAGATAGACTGACAGATATCCTGTTCCTATCTATTTACATATATATTGTCTCTTCCATGTAAACTCCTTGAGTACATGGACAGCTTTATTTTGGCTTTTTCTTTCTATCCTCGGGACTTGTCAGTAAGACAGTCAATAGGTATTTATTAGAGCCCACTACATGCCAGGCCCTTTGCTTAACAATGGAGATATAAAGAAATGGAAAAGAAAGTCCCTGCCTGGGTCCATCTAGATGACTCACTGGATAGAGTGCTGGCCCTGGAGTCAGGAAGACTTGAGTTCAAATCTGGCCTTAGACACATAACACTAGCTGTGTGACTCTGGGCAAGTCACTTAACCCTAATTGTCTCACACACAAAAAAAAAAAAGTCCCTGCCCTAAGGAGCTCACAGTCTAATAAGGGAGATAACATGCAAACAAGTATGTACAAACAAGATATCTAAAGGACAGATAGGAAATAACAGAGGGGAGGCACTAGAACTAAGGACTGGGAAAGAAAGGCATCAGGGTAGTTGAGACTTGAAAAAAGCCAGGGAAGCTAGGAGGCAGAGGTAAGGAAGCAGAGCATTCCCAGCATAGAGAACCAGCCAGAGAAAATGACCAGAGTTAAGAAATGAGTGTCTTGTTCCAGGAACAGCATGAAGGCCAATGTCACTGAATGGTCTGGGGTAATGAGGAGTAATGACTAGAAAAGAGGAGGTTGGGGGGAGGGATTATGAAGTGCTTTGAACACCTAACAGAGGATTTTATATTTATGTTTGATCCTAGAAGTGATAGGTAGCCACTAGAGTTTACTGAGGAGGGGGGATTAAATGGTCAGGTCTGCACTTTAGGAAAATCACTGACAGGTGAATGGAGAGGGACTGACGTGGGGAGAGATCAGTGGCAGGCAGAACCACTAGTAGGCTACTGCTATAGTTCAAGTATGAGGTGATAAGGGCCTGCACTAGGGTGGTAGCAGTATCAGTGGAGAAAAGGGGGTATATTTAAGAGATGTTGCAAAGATGAAATCAACAGGTCTTAGCAACAGATTAAATTGGGGGGGCGGGGAGTGAAAAGTCAAGAGTGATACTTAGGTTGCAAGCCTGGGGAAAAGAGAGTGTTCAAAGGGAAGAGGATGATCAACACTGTCAAAGGCTGCGGAGAGGTCAAGGAGAAAGAAGATTGAGAAAAGGCACACTGCGTTTGGCAATTCAGATATCATTGGTAACTTTGAAGAAAACAATTTCAGTAAAATGAGATCAGAAGCCAGATTGTACAGACTTAAGCAGGAAAAGGAAATTGAGGGGATTAGGAGAGCAAGTGATTAATTGTGGGAATTGAGTGAACCATATTGACTCCATCTTGTGACTCAATTCTAGAGCTCGCTCAGTTCTCTTTCTTTTCAATTATGGGTTTAGTCCAACTTCTGTCCTGTGAGAAAACTTTATTCAGTGATGGGAATTTGGCGAAAACCTTATTATATTGTTCATACCTAGCCCTGCATGGCTGGGAAACTGGACCACTTCTACCTGCTGCTTAGAGACTCTTAGCTAAGGGCCTTGGTTATGCTGATCAGAAGGAACCCAGTCAGACCCAAAGATTGATGTGAGTTTTCTCACAATTGTACACCTCAAGCAACACATGTCTGACCCGAAAACTGGCCCTATATTAATCAGTTACAGTTTCCATGTTCCTTTGATTGTTTACAGACATTTGAGGGAGTGGGACTCCTTTTCTGATTCATGGAATTGCACCTGTTCACTCTCTCCCTCCCAACTTGGAAAGTCCCTAACCTTTTGATTAATTGTTTTTAACGTATAAAAGTCTGTCTCCTCCTGCATTTGGGGTTCAGGTCTAAGGTGAGGAGGTCTGGTCCCAGTTCATTAGGCAATGAGCATACATTGCTTAATAAGTCAATATGCTCCAAAGATCAAACTTTTATTTCCTCAATCATTTCATCTTTCACCTGCTACAGAGGAAAGAAAGTAAAAGTATCTATTATAGAGGGTTTTCTCAAGAAGTGTAGCCAAAAAAGACAAAAGAGATATGGGACAAAAGTAAGAATGGAACAATCAATAAAGGTTTGTTGAGGATGGAGAAGACATGGGTGTGTTTTCAAGCAGTGGAAAAGTAGTCAGTAGAAAAGGAGATACTGAAGATAAGTGAAAGAGTGGGGATGACAAAGGAAGCAATCTGCTGCAGGAGTTGGGATTGGAAGGGATCACTTGTGCAGGTAGAGGGCTACTTCTGTACGTGAGACAGAGGTGAAAAAGGCATCTGAGTGACATGAGATGAGAAGGCAAAGAGGAGGTCACAGTGAATGGCCTCAACTCTTTCAGTAAAATATGAGGGCAAGGCTGTCAGCTCAAAGGGTGGAGAGACAGGGAGCCACGGAAGGTTTGAAAAGGGCTGAGAGGGTTTGGAAGAGCCATTGTGGAGAATGGGATAGTGAGTTGGCAAGGGAGTTGTAGAAACACTGCCTGGCAGCAGCGAGGACTCAGGTGAGGATACGTAACATGAATTTGTGGCGGATCCAGTCAGAACTGTTGAATGATTTTCCCCCCACCCGTGTAGAAGGAAAAGCAGTGGACAGTGGGAATCATCCAAAGCGAAGGCTTAGCAGAGCACAATCAACAATATGATGAGGGGACAGGGACTAAAGAGGACAGTGTAGAGTCGAAGTGGTTCATTAAGGGCTTAAGCTGAAGGTAAGAGAGAATGGCCAGTGCAAGGGTGATGGCCTGAGAGAGAACTGAGGGGTCAAAGGATTGGAGGTCAAAGTGTAGACAAAGAGTAAGATTTGGTATGAGAAGGCATAACCTAACCCTACCAGAAAGTTAAGAAACTTAACTGCATTAACATTATTCGGATGGTTTGTGAGGCTCCAAGCTCTTTGTGCCCTTGTACTGTTACTTCCCTGAACTATATGCCTGCATATCACTGCTATACTTCTTACTGCAAGTACATAAGGATTGTTATTATGAACTAACTTTCCCCCTTATGTCACATTTTCATGGAACCATTTAATAACACTAGGAAGATATCAGGCTATGTTTATAACCATGAAAAACCAACCAGTCAGTTAGAAGTCACCTTTTAAAGAAAATAAATCATCTCTATATCCTTCCCATAGCACCCGAACAACTTACATCTTAAGATGTTTAAAGAGTTCTTACCATGGGTTTCCACTGGCCTGCTTCTCCAATAATAATCTCTTCTCATCTTCAGAAAACTGTAAGTCCAGCTCAAAAGAATTATTGTCCAGATCATGAATGTATTGGTCTATATTGCTGCCTGACCTTTGAGGCAGGCTACTCTCTGAAGCAGATAATGAATGTGAAGAAGCTGAAGATGAAACTTGCATGCAGCCAAATTGGCTTAGAAGATTGTCGTACTATGGGGGGAAAAAAAGGAAAGTCATTATAAATTTCCACTGGTTTACATTAAACTTCTGATGTGTCCTACGTTTAACAAGACTACACAAACCTTTACTCCGCTCACCAATTATGCTATGATCACTTTTAAAAAAACAAAATTTTGTATCAAACATAAAGTAGGATATAGCCTTGGAAATGAAAAAATTCATGAGGTCACACTGAAGATCCATATGTGCATATAGAAACAAAGACAGACCAAACAACAAAATCTGATTTCTGCTTCCAGTTTTTCTGATTTTGTTGCTGTTCAATTGTTTCAGTTGTGTCCAACTCTTCATGACCCTTCAACTTCAAATCTTCATGGAGTGCTTTGCCATTTACTTCTCCAGCTTATTTTACAGATGAGGAATTGAGGCAAAGAGGTTTAAGTGATTTGCCCCGGGTCACACAGCTAGTAAGATGAGTCTTTTTGACTCCAAGCCTGGCACTCTATCCACTGTGCCACCAAGCTGTCCCAGTTTTTATGATAACACTAGAGTAAGAATCAAATAATGGTTCAGTTACCATGAAAGCTTTATTTACTTTAACTTGACACTGTGTAGTGTGTAGGAAGCCAGCCACTTCGCTGTTCCTAATTCTCTTCTACTAGGAAGGATGAAACAGTATTCATACCATCAGACACAAGTAGTATGATACAAGAAAAATAGCAGTGACTCTGAAGGAAGGGGGCCCAGGTCTGAATCCTTGCTGTACTGCCTTTTACCTGTATGGACCTGGTCAAGTCACAACTCTCTGAGGCTTTTCCTCATCTCAAAAATGACAAAGTTAGACTGAGTGATCTCTAAAGTGTCTTCAAATTCTAAAATCCTACAATCCCAAAATTCAGATATATGTGGTACAAGACCACAGTTCCAAAAACAAAGAGCTGAAAGGATTATCTCTAGTGCTCTCTAGATAACTGAATGGTTATTTAATACACACTGCCTTTTTCAGACAAGAAAGACAAGAATTGCACTGTACAACATAAAAGAAAAATGGCTAACAAAACCAGAATGGGATGACTCAAGGGGAGGAAAATTCGTGTGGCTCTGAGAAACATGAAATAGGGAAAAAATTTTATATCTAGGTAATGCTAGTCAGTCAAGATTTGATTTTAAATCTGACCAACTAGTGAGTAACAAGTAATAATAGCTCAGATTGCTAAAGATTGCTATAAGAATTGCAAAGTGTTTTCCTCGTTAACCACTCTGTGAAGTAGGGAGTATAACCATTACTAGCCCCATTTTACAGCTGAGGAAAGTCAGGTCATAAAAGTTATCACATTGCCTGTTAGAAATAAATTTCCTTTTCCTAAGGGCCACGTATGCCCAGGTCACCCAGTCCACCCCACTCTCGGGCTGAAATCACCAGGGGGAGGTATTACAATTCATGTGAACAGAACTGGAATTGCATTCGATAAAGGAAGTTTAGGATGTATTGGGGCATTAATAAGATTGGAATTTGGAACACACCTCTACTACTTTCTAAGATATTTTCTTTAGCTTTCTAAAAAGGACAAGAGTAGAACGTGGAGCAAACTGGGGAAAATTCGCCCCACTTTTAGTTAAACTATTGGTTAACTAAAAATATTGCCATTTATAAGGAAAATTTTTAAAATTAAATTAAAAAATTTGTCTTATGCTTTCCTGTGTTTGGAAGCAATATAGTGAACCTGAGTCCTAAATTTAGAGTTAGAAGACTTAGATTCATCCTTGTCTACAAATTTCAAATCTTCTACTTACTACCAGTATAACCTTGGATATCCTGGTCACTTGCCGTTTTTTAGCCTCCATTCTGTTACCTTTGAGTTGTGGGGGAAATCCTATATTCCCTCCAGGAAAGATTTTTTAATATTATATAATTAGGAGTCTACTAATCAAATTTGCTGTAGATATCATGCCACAACACAATGTATAAGACGTTAGATAAAGAATAATAGACCAGCCTAAGAGTCATGTACACTAGATTTAATAGAAGCAAAAAACAAAACAGAAATTACCCTACCTTTTGATGGAACAGTGCACAATAACACAACACCTCCAATCACCTAGCTGGATATTTTAATCTCACTAGATCTGATAAGTACTTGCTGGAGGATTCCCATTCATTGATAGAGTTTAATATGATTGTTTTGTTTTGTTTTTTTAAAATGCTTAATTTGGGTTTTTTTTATGTTTTATTTTTATTTTTGGCTAGGCAATGGGGTTAAGTGACTTGTCCAGGGTCACACAACTGGTAAGTGTTATATGTCTGAGGTTGGATTTGAACTCAGGTCCTCCTGAATTCAGGGCTGGTGCTCTATCCACTGCACTACCTAGCTGCCCTAATGTTATTGTTAATGATAATAATAATAGAAGCTAGCATTTATATCACACCTACTATATGCCAGGAACTGTGCTAAGCACTTCATAATTATTATCTCATTTGTTCTTCACAAGAAGATAAGTGCTATTATTATACCCATTTTGCAGATGAGGAAACCAAAGCAAACCAAGAGTAAGTGACTTGGCCAAGGTCACACAGCTAGTAAGTGTGTGAGGCTGGATTTGAACTTGGGTCTTACCTGACTCCAGGCCCAGTACTCTAATCATTGTGCCACCCAGCTGCTGTACCCTTACCCTCCTTCCACCAAACTTAATATCTCACATTTCTAAAGTTAAAAAGTGCTTTCCTCACAAACAACCCTGTGAGGTAGGCAGTACAAGTATCTCCATCCTACAGAGAAGGAAGGAGAAAAATTATTTGTCCATGACTATAAAATGCCAGAGTCAGGACTAGAAATTAGCACTCATTCCACTATAGCTCAGATATACTTTCTTCCAGTAATGACAAATGAGTAACATCACACTCAAGTGTTTGTGACTACTTTTACAAGTAACGTGCTTATAAAGGAATGAGAATCAACAACTTGACTAATGGCTTTTTTTTTCCCCAAAGTACTCTTTTTTAATCTCTCAGTAAATAGAAATTGCCTCTTGAAGGCAATATTGAAAACTGAACACAACATTCATCAAATTACTTATTATTAAGTATAATGACAAGAGCTATTAATTAACATTACACATAATATAATTATTAATAAGATGTAAATGATAAGAAGAAATATGATACATGCTACTGAGAGATAGCTATTTTCTCAAGATGGCTATAAAGTTTAACTGAGATAGTGAAGTTTTTAAAATGCTGGCCAAGACTAGGTCTAATGATTCTCAATAGTATCCACACGTTTCTCATTCTCCTTTAGTTCTCTGTTACCTCCACCAACTCTGCAGATTATTTCTGACATAGGAGTTCTGGGCAAATGACCAATGGAGAGGGAAGAGGAAAAGAAAAATGCGGAGGGAAGACGAAAAAACCTCAGAAGAAAGGCATGGCAGAAGAAAGTGGTCACTCCAACTTTGGTTTCTCAGATAATCAATAAATAAGATCCTACTACTCAAGATTATCTCCTGGGGCAGCAAAGTGTTGCAGCAGATAGAGCTCCAGCCTTGGAGTCAGGAAGACTTGAGTTCAAATCCGACCTCAGACACTTGATACTTACTAGCTGTGTGACCCTGGGCAAATCACTTAACCCCAATTGCCTCACCAAAAAAAAAAAAAAAGAATGTATCTCCCTCTATAACACACCCAGCTTCCTCATTCAAGATAGCCACATGAAATGCCCCCATCACCTGAACTCCCAAGACCAATAAACACTACCACCATAATTGGGAGCAGCCATTCTCATTCTTCCAAGAGTAGCCTCCAGGCTCAATCCATTTTCTACAGATTTAGACCTGGAAGTGATTTTAGGGGTCGGGTCATCAATGTCCAAGCCCCCATTTTACAGATAAGGAAACTTGTACAGATAAGCAAACAGAGATTAAATGACTTGCCCAGGGTCACACAACTCATAAGTATCTAAAGATTTTCCAGACTCCAATTCCAACACTACCCACTATGCCACCTACCTGTCTTTCTGCTTTCAATATTGAAATCTTATTAAACTAGGGATAAATTTTTTTCTACTTCTCCTTCCACCCTCTCTCAACAGAATCCCACCCTAGATGAAACCACAGTCCCTTCTCTCATAGAGGCCTGAACTCACCCAAACACTCTCTAGTTCAATAAAGGGATACAGCACCCTTTCTTTCTAGAACCAATTCAAAGGAGCAGAACCACCCACCTTCACATAGCTTAACTTCATCTGACCTTCATGTCACGTTTATGAAATTCTCTTCAAAGTTTGAATGCCCTTATCTCCTCTATGCCCTCCACCTACACTCCAATTTTTACCCTCCTTAATGACCTCAGCAAACACTTAGCCTGTATTATTCTCCATCATTTTGTGCTTTACCTTCAGCAACTTATAACAAGAATCACTCACAAGCATACTAAAGTTGGGACACATTTCGTAACACATAGCATAAACTCATCTCTAAGACCTTAACTTTTGTGCTCCTTCTGCCCCCCTCCCCCGCCCCCACATCATCATCATCATCAACAACCTCAACAAGGTATTAAGTGTTTACTATGTGCTATGCATGGTATGCTAATCAACCGGAATACAAACAAATGCAAAAATGTGGTTCCTGCCCTCAAGGAGTTCATATTCTAATAAAGGAAATATCATACAAATAAGTCTGTACACTGTAAATGGTATGTGATTCAAAAGGTAAGGCTCTAGCAATGTGGGAAACAGGACAGATCTCTTGCAGGATAGGATATGAGATGAGTCTTGAAGGAAGCCAGGAGGCAAAGGTGAAAAAAGAGAGTATTCCAGGCAAGGGAAATAGCCAGGAAAAACAGAAGTGTCAGGAAATGGAATGACGTGTGAAGAACAGCAAAGAGGCCAAAATTGCTGAATTGTAGATGGAGGGCAGTAAAGTATAAGAAGACTAGAAGGGCTTTAGTTGTGAAAGTGTTTATATCTCATCTTGGAGGCAACAGGGAGCCACTGGAATTTACTGAGTTGTGTGAAATGTTCAAACCTGGTCTAATTTAGGAAGATCACTTTAGTTGGAGAGTGGAAGATAGATTATGCTGGGAGAGATTGGAGGCAGAGAGAACAATCAGAAGGCTACTGCAATTGTCCGGGTATGAGGTGATGAAGGTCTGCACCAGGTTGTCAGATATATAAAATGGAGAGAAAGGGACAAATATGACCGTCTCCAAAAAAATATACTTTTTCTCCTACCCTGTATTTACCAAACTTGTTCTTCACCTACTGAATCATTCATTTCTTCTCAAGTAAGTGATGCAGACCTGCTGTCAGCTCACTGCTACTCCATTTCCACAACTCTTCCAATAAAGTAAGGATCATCAACTCAAACAATGTCTCTCATACTAAAGGAAGTGGGAATGGAAAACATGCAACTCCATTAAGATGGTACAGAATCAAGGGCACAGAGACAGTAAAGTACCTTGGATTCTGAATCATTAGTGTAACCCCTACCTTGAGACTCTGCTCCTACCCTAGACTTTCCTTTTCTAACTCAGTCTTATAGATTTTGGCATCCTAAACCTAGATTGATTCACTCACTTGCATTCCCAATCAAACCCTGCCACTCTTTGAAAAGAAGGGAATTAACTTAATCCTGGTAATTGCATCCACAATTTGGTTTTCTACCCCTCTAATGAAACTGTACTCATGGTCATTCCCTTAGCCAAATGCAGGTCACTAATTACTTCCTAATCGCCACATTCAATCCCACAATTCTTTCTCCTTTCTCTGAACTCTGTATTACAATCAGCCCCAAGCAGCTTAGTACACAACTATTCTATTTGATATGTGAGTCTTCTCCAATGAGACCATAAAGTTATTAAAGACAGAAATTTTATTTTATGCTCATCTTGTATTTCTCTTCCCAGCTGTACTGGGAACAAAGCAGGTATTAAGAAGTATTTATGAACTGACTGATAGTAAGTGATTTCCAAAAGAGAGAAGTAGGATTTTTCATACATTTTGCAATTTATGAATGTCTAACTCTTCTTTCAGAATGTTTGGCATGGAAAGAGGAGAGTAAAGGAGAGAGAAAGATGAGAGAAAGACAATGAGCATTTGCTATCTATAACCCTTGCATCAAGGATCAATACAATTTTCCTCAATTCTTTGCCCCTTAGGGCAGCTAGGTACCACAGTGGATAAAGTGCTAGTCCTGGAGTCAAGGAGACCTGAGTTCAAATCCAGCCTCAGATACTTATTAGCTGTGTGATCTTGGGCAAATCACTTACCCCTGTTTGCCTCAGTTCTCTCATTTGTAAAATGAGCTAGAAAAAGTAAATGGCAAACTACTCCAGTACCTTTGCCAAGAAAAGCCTAAAAGGGGTCATGAAGAGTTGACTTAACAACAACAGGATGAATGGCTTGGGGGGAAATTGCCTTTCCTATAATACTTTTGCATGTTAAAGATTATTAATTCTTTTTAAAGTTACTCTATGAAGGAAACCACATCTAAAAGTAACTGGTATTATGCCCCTCGTTTCCCCTTATACAAGATAAACTGAGTAAGACAAAAATGGAATAGTACCTAGGTCTGGAAACTCAAAAGAAGAAAAAAATATTAAAGAATAGATAAAACTTTCTGCATCTTTGCCCTCCTAGTGCATTCTACTGCCTTAAGGTTAGATTGGCATGACACCACAATATAGCCACTAAAGTTCTGTTTCCTCACTATGACATGGAAATAACCATAGCTTCTTGAAGAATACATGAATGGAATACAATCCCAGGCATGTCCTACTAAGATGGAAAAGTTTCAAGTGATAACTAAATTTAGGATGACCATCAAATTATTTGAGGGGAGAAGGCGGGAGTCTACAGCAACTCATGAAGCTATCTACTTAAGGTATGGAAGGGCTTTGACCTGAGCCAAACTTAAGGAATACATTCACCAATTAAATCGCAGCTTTTTTTTTTTTTAGGAAGTATTGGAATACCATCATGATGGCATAAACTCACTTAAACTAGTAATTAGATAGTTTCAACTAAACAAATCACAAGTAGAATTAATCTTTTTTCCTTTTAAAATTCTCAAATGGTAAAGTAGGCCAATACAGATGAACTGACATACATTTCCATAGCAGTCTTCATCGTCTTCAGACATAGCAGGTAAGTACGCTGTGAGCTTTGGAGGTGTCTGATGCTGAAGATCCTCCCACGTTATGGATTCAAAAAATGAGTGATCTTTAAGGGGCCCATACCCATCCATTTCTTCACAGCCTAATCGCTTTGTGGAATCTAAAACCTTAAAAAAAATCATAAGTAAATTCCCAGTGAGAAATTAATCAACAAACATTGATTAAATACCCACTATAAGCTTACATGCTAAGCACTGAAAAGATAATTCTTGTCAATTCATCTAAAGATGCATGGATAACATAACAACTAAAAGCTCTACCATAACCAACCAGTTTAGGACTACAAATTGTTTCTGTAAAATTTATTTTGCATACATTTCTTTCATCTCCATCTACCTATGTTTTCTTCTTACAGTTAGGAATGACTTACATAGCACAAACAAAAGCATTAGCAAACACACATATTACAATAATTTCCTAAATAAAAATGACCTGTAAATAAAGAAGGCTTTCATAGCAAAATAAAAGATTTAGCATAATCTATTTACAGACTTACTGAAACTTCCCTCATTCATTTCCTAAAAGCAATTTTAGCTCGCAGTCTTACACATCTATAATTTTGTCCAAAGGATTTAGTGAAATCATTCAGATTGGGTAAGGTAGCTATACCCATTCCCTAGGGAAAACTATAGGAAATACAAGAAAATAAGAGCCTGATGTGTTTAACAGTCTTCCATTTCTATAAAACATTTCTTATAATTAGCCACCAGCCTAGTTCTTAAATTCTAAAACAAGTCTGATAAAGGTCTACACAAATTTCCTGATTTGGCAAGGCTTTCTACAGTCAAAATACTATAGTCATCAGGGACGTCAGTTGTTAAAGTTCTAATAAACATTTTCTTACACTTTAAAACATTTTTACAGGTTACATGTTAACCTTTAAAAGCCTTTCCATAAAATACCAAAAAACTCCAGTCAACCTGCTTATTGTGAGAAGAATATTAGTACAACAAAAAGAACCCAAGAATGAGAGTTAGAAAACTTGAAGAATTCAAGTCCAAGCTCCAACATTTACTAGCTCTTTTGACCCTGGGCAAGAGACTTCACCCCCTCTAAGCCTCAGTTTTCCCATCTGTAAAATGGGGATAATACTTAGAATAGATGCTTCTCAGAGTTGTAAGGAAAGTACTTTATCAACAATCAGGCACTACCACATAAATGACATTTAAATGATTGTCCATAAAAGTCAGCTGAGTTAATTTACAGTGACCTATCTTGACAGCTATAATTGCTCCAGAATCAAAAAACTTCAAATGCTATTTAGAAATAATAATAATACAGAAAGCCTGGCTAACACAGGCCAAAGAGGACTATGGGCACTGTTTCCAAATACTGTCTACTTCCTGATTCAGCATGCATGGATAGGCACCAACCCTACTAATTACTTGAATTGTTTTCTTCTCCTTGCTTTCTATATCTGGTACAAAAAAGACCTGGCCCCCAAAGTGCTGATACAAAACCTATGCCACTACAGGTACCCTATGTGGGCATAAAGAGGTGTAGGAGGTTCTCATTTCAAAGACCCCACTGAGCAATCCTGTAATGCTTGCCCATTACTGGAACAATGTAAAACGCTCTGCTTAGGACTAGATTATGCTGTAATGCTAACGCCTAAGTAATTCAGAACTGTGACTGGTGCTGATTCATCCCACTAAAAACTGTACAAAAACCTACATATTCAGTCACCTTCTTCTGTCATCTGACCTTGGACAGCAAAGTCCAAACCTATGTTAAAGATAGCAAAGAAGCCCAAAAAAGGCAAAAACCACCCACATGTAACACTGTTAAGAGCTGTAACATTAACAAAAAGTTCTAACAATGTCTACCAAAACTCTAAAAGACACTTCACCTAAGATCACTAACTCCCAAACAACATGGTATGCCATCCATTCAAGTGTGAGAATTCCAACAGTTGAGTTTTCTTGCCAATAGACAAACCTCGAAATCAACCAAATAATAAGTATGGACTTCACGTTGATTTAAACCTAAATCCCGAGTAAAAGTCCTATTGAACTGGCATAGCTGACACAGTTGACACTTTGGTGACTTAGACACATTAAAGAGTATTAAAGATTAGACAATTTTCTTTTACTAGTTTCAATAATAAAAAAATTCTGAAATTAGAACTTATAATTTTATTGGCTATAATTCTAGCTAACAATAGCAGCTTACATCCATATAGCACTTTCTACTTTATAAAGTACTTCCATCAAAACATCCTGTAAAGTTAGTGTAACATCATCCTTATTATACAGATAAGTAAACTGAGGCTCAAAGAGGTAAAGGAACTTATTTGTGGTCATATGACTATTAAGTGGCAAAGTCAAAATTTGAACACAAATCCAGGGTTGGTCCATCACACCCATTATGAAAAACTTCACTAATTCTCACATCATACAGTTTTATTAACCGTAATCCAAGTCAAAGGATTACATTAAGTTACTAAAGCTTCTTCAACATAGGTGAAAAGAGAATTTTTACCCACGCTGTACCACAATAAAATGAGAAAAGTACTTACCAAAAGTTTTTCCACAAGATCTTTTGCCTTAGGGAAGAATTTTTCTGGAAAGTCATATTCCAATTTAATTATCTTCTGAAATATAAGATATTCGTTTCTGGCAAAACAAAAGCAAAATGATTCATCCCAGAATCATGCAAACAGGCACTACTACTAACTTCTTTGTTATTTTCTTTTTTTTGGACTGGTGTAGTCACATATACCAGTTATCTTCAGATCAAAAAGGTTGCTTACAGCCTTCGTAATCAGCTTTGAAGGTAAAGATTTCAATCCACAACTTGGATAGTCCATATTACCCACTCCTCTCCCCTAAAAAGGGGAAGTTCCCAAAAGGTCAGAGGGAACATTCTTATAGCTGTCACGTGTGTGGCTAAGAAAGCTGATCTCACTAACAAATAATGAATTTTAGTGTTGGAAAAAAATTTGAAGGTAATCTAAGCCAATCTCAACCCTCCTCTATAACATACCTAACCAGCTGTCATCTAGTCGGAAGGCCTCTCCATTGACAGGGAACATACTACCCAACAAAGAAACCCATTCTATTTTGGGACAAGTCTATTAATAAATTTTTCTTTATTACAAGCATAAGTCTGCCTTCCTACAATTCCAACTTATTGGTCCAACTTGTGCCTCCAGAAGCCTTGCTCCAATCACCCCTTACTCAACCAGCTATATCCCTGACCCTTTGACAAAAAATGCTCAAATAACCTGGTAACTTCAAAACTTCAAATATCTTTACCCCAGAATTTAAAAGAAGATATTGAATGTTTAATAATCTGTACTTAACTGCTAAAATTCATTTTGTTATAAGAATGTTGTTGGGAAAAATAAATAGAAAATAGTGAGATTTTTTAAAAAAAAATATTTAAGAAGAATACATTTCTCTTACCCCGCTCTAAATGGTGGTAATCCTGCTACAAGCTGGTATATTATACATCCGAGAGCCCAGAGGTCTGAACTTTAAAATAGGGGGGAAAAAAGGAGATCATATTTGAAAAGTACAAGTGACATAACACATTTCATATTTCAAATGGTAAGTTCTGTTAATATGCTTTGAAAGACAATTAAGTTCTCGCTTTTATCACGAATCATAGCTTTTCTTTTAAAACAAAAATTTGACAGCATAATCTTTGCCAATTTGACTTTTCATGCATTTCTGGTGCTTTTTCACTACTAAGTTCATTTTGACATATTAAAGATAAAATGATGATCAATATTATTTAGCTAAGTTGTGACTGTTTTGCTGTAAAAAGTACATGTGAGATTAAGAACAAACATACAGAAACAAATGAATACAGAAGCACACCATTTGATAAACCTAAAGACCCCAGTTACTGAGATAAGATTGACAAAAAATTGCTAGAAAAAACTAGAAATCAGTTTCACAAAAATTAGGTATAAACAAACATTGACACCATATAAGAAGATAAATGCCTAATGGATACATGACTTAGATATAAAAGAGGAAAGGCATCATAAGCATATAAGAGGAACAAGGAAGAAATTACCATTTAGAGAGGGGGAAGAGTTCATGACCAAACAAATGACAGAGAAGAGAGAGGATATCACAGAAGAAAAAATGGACAATTTTGAGTATTTATAATTTAAAAGTTGTCATACAAACAAAAGTAATGCAGTTAAAATTTTAACAGAGCAAAGGCTAACTAGAAAAAATTTTTGCAGCAACAAGACTAATAGCCACTCCCCAATTTATAATCAAAGGATATGAACAAGCAGTTTTCAAAGGAAGAAATACAACCTATCAACAGCAATATGAGAAAATACTCCGAATCATTTTAATTAGAGAAATGAAATTAAAGAAACTCTGAGGCTCCAAAGATGACAAAAGAGGAAAATGACAAAAGTTGGAGGATTTGAAAGAAAAAAGGCTCATTAATTCGCTTAAGTGGAGCGTGAACTCATACAACCCTAATGAATGGAAATTTGAAGCAAAGCTCAAAAAGTTACTAAACTACACTACACATACCTTTGAGCCAACTATTATACAACTAACTATAAGGCCTATGCAGCAAAGCGATACAAGAAAGAAAAGGGCACATATGTATAAAAATATTTGTAGCAACTCTTCATAAAAAGCAAAAGGTGAAAACTGAAGAGTTTTCACTTATTACAACACATGAATGTAAAAAAATATTGTCATAAGAAATGACAAAAACAACATATTTAGAGAAAACCAGGAAAACCTTTATGATCTAGTGAGGAAATGAACAGCCCTCACCAGCACATCATCAAGGGAAGCATGACCAGCAAACAAATAAACAAAAAAAGAATCTGATCATAAAAAGCTACTACAGTGGCAGGAAAGATGATGACAAAAACTCAGAAGATAATAACGTGAAAATAGCTACCAAAAAATCTCAAAGAAAAATGCTAATTGGAATCAAGCCCAACAAGAATTCCTGGGCTCAGAGTCTTAAAATCTAACCAACAGCTCACTAACATTCAGACTCTTTGAGAGCCTGCCCAATGTGACAGATGTTCTAATAAACTTTGTCGTTGGCTAAAAGAAGGCTCGAGTCGAATTCTTTTGCGGCAAGACCCATGTGTCATGATCTCGGGGTCCCAGCACCCCTAAACCTCATCATTTTGGTGGCCCGTACGAGGAAACTGCTTAACGCCAAGTTCTTCTCCAGCCAAGACTGGAACGTTGTAAGCCTCCCCCCCCGCCCCTTCTTGCTCTGCAGTTGGGGTTGCTCTCCAAGCACCAAGGCTTGGAGGTGCTTTTCGGGCAGAGTTACAAGGCTGTCTCACGCTCGGCCTTACACTCTCAGGCTCTCGGTCCACTGGGTCAGTTCGAGGTCATGGACCTGGGTACACCTTCCATAGCATAGAGGACAAGGACGGACACCCTGTCCAGAAGTGTATACCCAATTCTGTTAGTTTTCCTGATTGGTAATGGGTTTGTTTCAAGTTTCAAATTAGTGAACTTTCTGTATCAGTTATATCAAGCAACTTTTCATAATTTGGTTACTGCTAAAATAATTTGGCTATTGTTGGTTATTGTTTTAATGTGTAAACTCGTTTGGGTTTTGGCTTGCTGAGAATTTGCAACTGTATAGAAATGTCTAATGATTGGCTTTTTACACCAGGACAAATTTAAGTTTGAGATGTAAATCCTGAAAAAGTTTTTCCTAAGCTGTGATTAGTAAAACTTGCTGTTTGAGGTAAAAGCTCATAGGATTTTATTTTGAGTTATCTGATGGATCATAATCCATCCACCATCTGAGAGAAATGTCACAAGCTACTCAGAGAATGTGATACTGGTGGGAAGTCAGCATAAGGAAAAGCTGAGAGGACAATTTTAGCCTCAGTCTAAGATGGAATTCTCCTGGCTCAGTTTCCCCATTATGTTCCTTTGAAAGGGAATGTTACTCACTTGGCTATTCCTCAGTCAGGCTATGAGGTGGATTTGATACTGCACGGTTGGAAAACTTAATTATCTGAATCCAAACAGAGCTAAGGATGTTGTATCCTCTCATATTGGGCCCTAAATCTAGTCCCTGCTTTATATCTGGGCCCTGCAGTCTTTTCTGTTAGATTTGTGTCTTCCAGACTACAGGCCATTCATCTACAGCTGGTAGCAAACATCAGGTCCCAGCCAATGTCCCCCCTCCACATCGTTCCCTGGATGCACTCTGTGCTGGGTTCCAGTCAACCTCCTCTTTGAGACCCCCTCGAGGTGGGGACAGCTCTACACCCCTCGCCAGCAGGAAGCAGTTTCAGAAGCCAAGACCTTCGCCCCTTACCCCAAAAGAATTTGGGTCCCATTTGTTTGAGGGGGGAATGATGAGGATGGGATCTAGACCCCAAAAAGGAAAAACCCTGGACTTTCCCACATGGCCAAATCACCTGAGGCTATAATCCCATCAACTGGCTTTTCATGGTGGCTATACCCAATCTCCCAATTCTGTAACCCTTAACATAGCCTTGCCCTTCACTGTCTTACTTCCCTATGGCCCCAGGCCACTTCCCATGCCTTAATCCTATCTAGGCTCTCTGGGCCAAGGTGGTCCATGTCCCTAGAGTTCTATTACTTCATTGAATACTTGGCCATTCCTAGATCCCTTCTATAGTCTTTCTGTATATAAGGTCCATCTTGTGTCCATTAAGACACTCAGATTCTTAAAATCTAGCCAATAGCTCACTAACATTAGTCTGCCCAATATGACGGAAGTTCTAATAAACCTTGTCTTTGGCAGAAAAAAAAAAAAAAAAAAAAGAATTCCCGGGAACAGTTAAAGAAAGAGATAAGAGTGGTAGAGGAAAAATTGGGCAAAGAAATGAGAATAATGCAAGAAAATTATGAAAAGAGACTAAACAGCAGCAGCTAAGTGGTACAGTAGATAGAGCATCAGCCCTCAAGTCAGAAGGACCCAAGTTCAAATGTGACCTCAGACACATGACACTTAATAGCTGTGTGACCCTGGGCAAGTCACTTAACCCTGATTGCCTCACAGAGACAGAGAGAAAGAAATAGAGAGAGGGAGGGAGGAAGAGATGGAATGAGAGAGAGAGAGAATAAGAATTAACAACTTGGTAAAGAGGCACAAAAAAATACTGAAGAAAATAACACCTTAAAAAGTAGAATTGGCCTAACTGTAAAATAGGCACAAAAATTCACTAAAGAAAAGAACTTCTCAAAAAGGAGAATTGGCCAAATGGAAAAAGAAGTCCGAAATAGCACTAAAGAAAAAGAATTCCTTAATAATTAGAATTGGGAAAGTGGAAGCTAATTATGTTGTCAAACATCAAGAAACAAACAACAGAGGACTTTCAAACATTCCTGATGAAAAGACCAGAGCTGAATTGAAAATCTGACATTCAAACAAAAGACTCAAGAGAAGCATATAAAGGTAAACATGAAAGAGTAATCATAAGGGACTCAATAAAATTAAACTGTTTACATTCTTTTATGGGAAGATGATACTTGTAATTCCTAAGAAGTTTATCATTATTAGGGCAATTAAAAGGAGTTTACATAGAGAAAATGGGTATGAGTCAATGAAAGGGGTAAGAGAAAGGGGGGGATGATGATAAAGATGATGATGATAACAGCTAGCATTTAAAATGCTCCTACTATGTGCCAGGCACTGTGCTAAGCCCTGTATAAATATCTCATTTGATTCTCATAACAACCCTGGGAGGGACCTGCTATTATTATGCCCATTTTACAGTTGAAGAAACTGAAGCAAACAGAGGTTGAATGACTTGCCCAGAGTCATACAGCTAGTTAAGTTTCTGAGGTCAAATCTGAGGTCAAATTTGAATTCAGATTTTCCTGACTCCAGGTTCAATACTCTATTCACTGTATCATTTAGCTGCCTCATGTAAAGTTAGTTTTTATTAGGATGAAATTTCCACAACTTTTCTTCAGTAACTTGCCCAATTACTCTACCCCAAACTAACTTTACACATATACTAACGCTAAAACCTAACTCTACCTCATGCTATTAGCCAACCACTAAGTTATATATATGAGCAGTATCCTCTACTAGATTAAAATTCAAGACCTAGAACACAAAATTATGGCTTCTAAACACTGGGTTAAAAGAATCATCCAAAGACCAAAATCTTACACCATATGCCAAAATAAAGTCAAAATGGGTTCATGATTTAGATATAAAGGTTGATACTATAAGCAAACTGGGAGAGAAAAGAATAGTTCATCTGTCAGATTTCTGGAGAACAAAAGAATTTATGACTAAACAGGAAATAGAGAACATTATGAAATGCAAAATGGATAATTCTGATTATATTTAATTGAAAATTTTTTCACAAACAAAGCCAATGCAACCAAGATTAGGAGAGAAACAGAAAACTGGGAAAGAATTTTTACAACCAGTATCTCTGATAAGAGCCTTATTTCTAAAATATGTAGAGAACTAAGTCAAATTTATAAGAATATAAGTCATTTCCCAATTGATAAATGGTCAAATG